TGGAAGGGTCACAGAAGAGAAAGGTCACATCTGCAGGGCTTGGTGACCTGGGAGGGGTGGCTCACAAGACTCCCAGGTTTCAACTTGAGCGACAAGGGATGGTGCGTGGCTGTTTGTAAGTTAATAATAAGGAGGAGGACAGTCCACTTACCCTATTAAAATCTAACAGACGCTCTTCATTACTGGGTATTTCTTTAACATCTGGATATTCTTCTATACCATTCTCTCCCTTGGCATTTGTATAACATTCTTAATCATTTTGAATGGAGAAGGGAAAAGAGGGAAAGGGGGGAAATTCCATTAAGACACAGTTGTGAAACATACATTCTTGTTTCATTTTTTGCTGAAAAGTCAGATCAGTTAGGCCTACGAACACTTTGGAGATTTTAAGCAGTCACTAAAAGCAGACATGGTCATCATCAGCCAGCCAGGTGTGCATGAGGAAAACACTATGCCAATTTAAAAATTCTTTTAACGACTGTTTATTGCATTTTTAAGAAATAGGCCAGCATAACAATACTTTCCCATTAGCCCACCATGAGATATTCCTTCAATAATCCATATTCACACCTATGATGTGACAGGCCCTGGGAAAACAAGATAAAAAGACTGACAAGGTCTGAGCTCTCAAGAGTGTATGTTGTATGGAGGGAGACAGACAATGCACCATATATATGCTCATAGAACACATGAACAAAGGAATTTCAGACAGGAGGAATTGCAATGGAGAAAACAAAACAGAGTAACACCTTTGTTTGTTCTTTCTCAACTCAACATGATACTAAACTACGCACTTATTTTATCTGTGGCATAGGGAAGAGAAATGAGGCCAGTAGTTTGGGTAAGTGGCTCACAGAAGGGGATGAAACTATAAGCTGGAATTAGAAGGAATCAAATAAATCATTTAGTCCAATGGTTCTCAACCCTGGTTTCCCATTCAAATCACCTGGAGAGCTTTAAGAACGGTGTGGAAGCCCAAGCCCCCATTTGAGGTTCGGACTGAATTGGTCTAGGACAGAGCCCAGGGATCAGCATTTTCTGAAAAGCTCCCAGGTGATTCTGATGCACAGCCAAGGCTGAGACCCGGTGGTCTTGATCTAGACCAGCCCCCTATTCACCTTCGCTCAATGGAAAGGCGGCTGGAGCAGAAACAGTGAAGAGTGCAGAGACCTTGGGCGGGACCAGATTTGGACCCAGGCTTTGACATCACTGTGTGTAAGTCCTTTAATGGCCCTGAGCAGCTGTTTCCTCAAAACTGCCCGCAGTAGTTACCATGAGGCGTTCATGAGACAGTATGCTACCCCGTGTGTGATACCAGAGAGGGCAGGGCTGGCACTCAAGGACTGCTGTGCTCTCTGCCGCTGGGTGGCGGACCTGTGCCAAAGCCCCACACCCCACCCATTCGGCTACCACTTGTCCTAGGTGGCGTCAGTGTAGTGGGCAAGGGACTGTTTCCTTGACTGGGACATGCACACAGATGGAGCTGCATCCATCACACCCCCGCCCCTTCATTCTCTCTCCCTGCTTTAGGAATTCCGTGTGCAAAAGGAGCTTGTGACGCTGCAGGCATCGGGAAGGGGCAATTTTGATTTTCATGACCCTCACAGTGACAGCTACCATGCTCTGGCTTATGACTATGTGCCAGGCACTTTACTCTTCACAAGTACCCTCTAAGGGGGGCATTACTTTAGCCTCTTTTTACAGGGAACGGAGGCACTTGACTCCAACTCAGTTTTGTCTCCTGAGCCCTTCATTGTTATCTATACTGTTTCCCTACACGACTCTCTCTTTAAGACTGAGATTATACATATGCTTAAAATGAACCTTCCAAACGTTTAGAACCTAGTGCATGAGCGCTGGAGACTGCTGCTCAGGACACATCTGCCGTGGCACACAGTCTGTAAGGCCTCTCTGGTCTGGCTTCTTGCTGCCTGGCGGACCTCGTCCCTCACTGCACTCTCGCACGGTTCCCCCTTTGCCAGGCACACTGGAGCACACCAAATGCACTCTTCCCCTGCATCGGCCGGTGCTTCTGCCTGCTACCTCTCCCTGCAGGTAGCCCCAGCTGTCACATGGCTCGTGCCCTTATTCCCTCAGGTCCCTGCTCAGATGTCAGCTGATCAGGAGGGCAGGGACTCGGTCTGTGTGCCTCTGCATTCCCAGTGCTCGACACAAGACAGGCATGTAAGAATTATTTGCTGAGTGGATGCAAATATGAAAGCACAGTGAGGCTAGCAGGCAGCAGAGTGCAAGGAGCTTGGGCTTTCAGGCTAGATGGACTCCCGCACTGCTCTGGGCAGCTGGGCAATCTGCCTCACTTCTCAGCCTCCATCTCCCACCTTCCTGTAAAAGGCGATGATCCTCCTTCCTCCAGGGAGGCAGAGAGCTTCCAGGTCAGCCCGTGACTCAAGGCAGAACGTGCCTACTAATCATTATTAGCAACCTCAGAAGCCTCAGGAGCAAAGACACGAGTCCCCAGTCACTTCTGCTGAGTGGGTGAGAGGCTGTTTTCCTGGCTAACCCTCTCCCGAGACTGCACACCCCGACCCCCCTAAGATGAAAGAAGGCTGCTTCATAACATCACTACAAAGCAACTGTGCAGGGACTTAACTCACAGCTGTGAGTGAAAGGTCATTCAAAAGCCTGGTCACCCTTACTTATCCACTGAGAGTTTCTCTATATGCCACTTCACCAAAAAAGAAGCATCATGTACTAACAATCATTTACAGCACCTACCAAAGGACTGTACAGATACCAAGGACCCAGAGCTGAGACTTGGAACTGAATTCCTTACTAATTATTGAAAAAAAAACTGGGCAAAGGGTGCCAAGATAGCCCAAGACACACTAACAAAGCATGAACTCTGTGCATTTGAAAATCATCATAAGCCCCCACAGGCGTTGGTCCTTCTCAACCCTCAGGCCCGGCCTGCTGCCACATCCCTCTCTCCCTCCTGGCACTCCTTGAATGGTCCTCTCATTGCACTGCTCTGGGACACTCAGCCCTTCCTACCTGTATTCCCATTAACTGTGTCTGTGACTTCTCACTCACCCAGTGCACCAGACTGGACATACGTCAAGGCCAGGCTTGTGCTCCTATCACCCTGGTGTCTCCCTGGACACCAATGCAAACAGCTGCTGTAGAGAGCAAAGCTTCTGAACCACAAAGAGATGGCTTAGACTTGAGCCTGAGCTTAATGGCTGATGCCATGATTCTGGGCAAATTACTAAACCTGAGACTTAGCTTCCTCATCTGAAAACCAAGTGTGACATCTCACAAGGCTTTTGTGGGGGTTATATAAAAGAAAAGATTGTGGGCTGGCCCGGTGGTGCAGCAGTTAAGTTCACACGTTCTGCTTTGGCGGCCCGGGGTTCGCCGGTTTGGATCCCGGGTGCGGACATGGCACTGCTTGGCAAGCCATGCTGTGGCAGGTGTCCCACATACAAAGTAGAGGAAGATGGGCATGGATGTTAGCTCAGGGCCAGTATTCCTCAGCAAAAAGAGGAGGATTGGCAGCAGATGTTAACTCAGGGCTAATCTTCCTCAAAAAAAAAAAAGATAAAAGACTGAGAGCACCTTGTAAATGATAAAGGGTGACACAGATATTAGTTAATGGACGAGCAACAGGCATTTATAAATGCTATTAAATAAACAAAGATGCTAAAAATGTGCTCTCCTTATGACCCAGCAAACCTCTGGGAAGGAGGAAGGCAGGTCTGGGGAAGCTTCATTTGTGCCCACAGAGCAGAGAGGCAAACAACCCCGGCTGTGGCCCCGTCAGCTAAGGCCGGGCAGTGCAGGAAGGGCAGTGCAGGCGTCCTGAGCGCCGGGAGCGTGCAGGCATCCTTGGCAGTGAGGGACGTTCCTCGCTCCACAGAATGATAAATTCACTAGGGAGACCTGAACATGTAAATGCTAACAAAAGATTACCTGCCCCTCAGGGCTCTGACGGGAGACTATTAAATAAACGTTGTAGCTGAGAGCAGCCCGGGAGAGGGCAGCAGTCTGGACAGGCTCACTCTCTTGAGCTAATCCATTTAGGGTGCCTCCTCAGTTCCCACGTCTCGCAGATTTTCAGATCAAGATTCTTTATAGCTTCTGGGTGTGTCCACCTGGGATGCCCATAGACTAAAATCATCTTCACCAGATCTGCTCCTGTTCCCAACTCCCTCTGTACCCAATCTCCCCTAACTCCCTCCTGCTTTTCACTCTTCAGAGAAAGTCATTCAACAAACTCTGGCATCCTCTACAAAACCTCTGGATGTAGTTCTTTTATCTGTTCTCCCTATGCCTTAGTCCAGGCTCTTATCCTGTCACTCCCAGACCACTGCAAGAGCCCGTTTCAAGTCCACCTCCACTCTGTTGCTAGCATTGTTTTAAAACACACACCTGACCTGACCCCCCCGCCCCAATGTGGAATACTCCCAATGATCCTGAGTTCCTGCCTGGTAAGCTCTACCCAACTTAGCAGAGCTCCCAAACCTCCTGACAAGCTCCGAGGGCCCAGAGGGTCCCTATTCCCCAACTTGCCACAGACCCTCCTGCCTTTGTGCAGTGCGTTCTCCTGGGGGCTGTCCTGTCCCAGCCTTCCCCCGGGCGCCTTCCTGAAGGCCGATGCACAGCTCCCGGGAGCTTGGACAGATCTCGTCAGGGCGGTACTGCTTCTATGTACTCCAAGCGCTCCCCACGTCAGGCTGCGGCTGAGTCCAAGGGCAGAGTCCAGTTCTCCTGTGTCTCTGTGTCCCCAGTGCCCAAAGAATGCCAGCCACACAGAAACCTCTCGGGAATGTTTTCTGGACTGATATTCACAGCAAAAGGATTTATTGCTCTTAATGCATTAGAACTCTGAACAAATGAATGAATGACCTAATACAGGTCTCCTTACCTTCACACTCCGATGCAGGAAAAAGAGGAGAGTACAAAGCTTTTTCCCACCAGCTCTGTTTTTCTTGCCTTCTATTCATTCCTTGTACATCAGTGCTCAGTACAGGAAACTTTAGATAAAACCAAATACAGAAAAAGTTTAAAGACTTTCAGAATAAAGGAAAAAATCCAAGCATTAGCTATGGACTATAACCCCAGGATTTTTAAACTGATGAGTTTTTTACTATTCTAGACGGGTGATTAAAAAAGCCAAAGGGGTCATAGCATATAAAGGAAGTTTTTCTTAAGAAGCACTTATATTGGAAGTGGAATGAAAGTCTTTAAAAAAAAAAATAAAACAAAATTCTTACAAGGCAGAAATATCTAACAGAAAATACCCCAAAGTAAGGCAAATTTCTAGCTTTTGGAAGTGCAGAGAGGTTAAAGGGACGGCCCCAAGTGCCCACTGGTGTAAGGCACTCTAGAGAAAACAGGGAGGCCTTCTCCTTCACACACTCAGGCAGCAGGGAGTCAAAGAAGAAGAAATGGGCAAAAGGAGATTTTAGAGCTAGAGTTACTAACTAAACGTCTTTATAACTGAATTATCTGCTTCGGCGAGAACCAGAAAGAAACTGAGACTAAAACCAAATAATAAACCTGAGAATAATTCAAATTCAAAACACGACATACTCGTTAAAATGAGGGAAGGACTCCTGAGAGCAGGAGAGATCCATACTCTTTGCACCTCCATGGTCCTGGCAGAGCAGAAGGTGCTCAGGCCCAGAAGGGGGCTCCAAGTCTGAATCCTGGCTCCATCCCTTACTAGCAGAACTCTCAAGGCCTGGCTGGACCCTGCCCGCCCACCTGGGCAGTGAGGATTGAACGCAGCGTGGCTAGTGGTCGACAGACAGCAGCTGTCATTAGTGATCAAGGCGTGTTGCTGTGACGTGGCCAGCTGCGGTCACTACGTGCATCCTGGCGTGCCAGCGGTCAGGGCAACCCTCTTCCATGTTCCTCCTTCACTGTGCCTGACAACAGGCCTCCCAGGGTCAGGCCTGATCTTGGCATCTTTGCCCCGCCACGGCTCCTAACACTCTCAACAGACATCTCCTCAATGGAGAGGCTTGAAAACACTGCACACATCTTTACTGTTTTAAAAGACATTTCATTACGTGTTAAAGCTTAAAGTCTGAACTGTTTTAGCAACTAATGATCATCAATTCTCTAATAGGATTTTGTTACTCTCTTAAATGTAAACTATTGTGTAGGTCTAAAACTTTTTGATTTAGTAATGTGTTGTTTATTATTTAACTAAATGGAAAACACACTTCAAAAAACTTTCATTTTCACTTAACTTTTCAGACATACTCCTAACTTAGAAACTGAAGGAGAATTACACTGTCTAATCGGGGTGGTCAGTTAACCGTCACTGTGTTCTCCTGCAGCTTATTCTAACAATAAAAATTAGTACTATTAGACAAACAGATACCAAGGCCAACAGAACTGACAAAGCTAAGCTTAATGCAAATGAGGCCAGCAATATGCAAGATCTGCAGTTAATTCAAAGTGACTAACTGCACCTGGCACACACGCACAGCGCCCTAAGACCCCTCCAGAAAGGCCTTATCTTCTTCCCAAGGTGCATCTATGCTGTGAGATGACTATGCTCAGGAGGAGCCAGGAAGGTTCCCCGGGCAGGACTCTCTCCACCATCCCCAAGGCACTACTGAGAGGCGGATTCGGAGGCAACAAGTTCCGCCTGAGGAAGAAAGTGTCCTGGGCAGGCTGCGGAAGGATCAGTGTTTTATTTCTGTGAGTGCAGTTCTTCTGCTTATCATTTCAACCTTTCTTGAGACTGTGGGAATGGAGGCAAGGGGAAGGGAGAGAGACGTCATCATGGAGGACCGGACACGGGCGGGAAAGCAGGCTGGAGGGGGTCAAGGCACCACCGAGGGGCTGGGTCAGCATGAAGGAAGCGGAACCAGATGCTCAGCTTCTTAAGGGCAGGGACCACATCTATCTATGCGCATCTCCAGGCATAAGGCCTGGCACAGAGTAGAAGTAGATACTCAATGTCCGCTGAGCTGAAGAAACGGTTCCGCCTGGCCTAAAGCCCCCGTCGATCTAGCATGCCGTTCCCGCCCTCTCCTGCTGACACCACTGTTAAGCTCAGGCCAGCTTCTGCAATAGTTCCAGGATGTTTTTCTATGTCCTTCGTTTGCGTGTCAATCCTGATGGCAGGGACTTATTTGTCCTGTTTTATGCTACACTATACACATATTCAGTAAATATGTATTATTTTATGACATCTTTCCACTTAACTATTTCTAATTTTTAGGTTGCACAGCAAAGACAACTATGCTTTGCTTAAATAATGTATATGTACTGTATTAATTTAACTTCTGGTTAGGTTGAGAATGAAAACAAGAAAGAATGGAAGAAACAGAAACAGCACAGACCATCGCCCTGGAGGAACCAAGCACAGCTCTGCCTTAGTGCCACCCTCCCTGTCCGTCTGTCCCCAGACAGCTTCCTGGCTCACCTTCTCCCCTGCAAGCTTTCTTCAAATTCCACCTTGGCAAGGAAGCCTGCCCTGACACTCCCATTCCACCACACCCCTTTATCCAGCTCTTCTCCTCCTCTCCCACAGCACTGGTACCCTAACACACCATACACCTTTGTATGTTCATTGAACGGAACTCCACAACGCAGGCATCTTTGTTCCTTATCGCCAGGCACCTAGAACAGCACCTGGATAGAAGAGGCTCTTAATCAGTATTTGATGAATGAATGAAACAGTGAGAAAAAAAGAGAAGACATAAACTGAATCCAGAAAGCCTGACCAGAAATGTTTTTAGCAACAGATGTAATATTCAGTAATTCTTTAGAAGATGGAAGTTAGGTAAAGGCTCACAGCTTTAAATTCTCACTAAACATTCTTAGTGCTGACAGAGAGAGAGGTGTTTGTTGTTCCTCTTCTGAGTTTTGCTCTGGGAGTAGAGCCTGCATAGTACTCCTCTGCCACAGTTCTCAGTTATTCAGGTCACAAAAGGAAAAGAAGAGAGGAAATGTAAATGAAGAGATAAGGAGAGCAACAGAGACCAACAGGAGACAGGGCACGGCCTGTTCCAAGTTTCATTTTACAGACAGGAAGCACTGGGAAGAAGTGGGGCTCTGCCCCTTGCACTGGCACCCGGGGCAGGTATTCCACTCCTTTGGGCCTACAGGTCCTTAGCAGTCATGGGGGGAAATAAACCTGAGGCAGAAGGTCACCATGGGCATTCAGTGGGATAACGGTGATAAGGCAGAGTGGGCACAGTGCCTGGCACAGGTGGGTTGCGTACCACACCCCCTGGATGGCCCCCACTCCCTCTACTCATCAAAGGCCTTCTGACTTCCACAGCACATTGTCTGCTGGGCAAAATGGCCTCCCCTCCTGGACTGGACTGTAAATTCCTGAAGACAGAGACTCAGCCTTCTGCTTCTTTTCCTGCTTCAAAGCACGTGGCACTAAGTCGGTAATCAAGTAAATGACAAAGAGAACACTTTTGCCACAAATTTATGCACAAATGGATACCTGAGGCACACGCTGCCATCCCTGGCTTTCCATTTTATCCCTGAGAACCATGAACTACTGCTGGCAGCTGCCCTGCACACGCGTGTGGTCTGAAGCCAGGGGCCCCCTTGCTTGCACTGCTCCTTCTGCCTAGGGTCCTGCCTCCTCCTTTCTGCCCCCGCGCACTCAGGTATGTTCACAGAGCCGGCCTCTACTCTCACAGGCCGGGAGGGGTTCTCCTCTGGGTTCCCACAGCATCCTGTGTTCATCTCCACCTCACCACCCACCAAGTTACCTAAAATTACGTTTGTCCAAATGCCCTAAAAGATAAGGAACTGGCTAGGTAAATCATGGTACATCCAAAAAGTGGAATAGTATGCAGAAAATAAAAAAGGAAGGGTTATTGTAATAAAGTGTCATTTCAGTAAAAAGAGAAAAATAGGAGGAAACATATGTAAATATGTATTTGCTTATACATGCATAAAATATTCTCGGAGGATACACCACAACTCATGCTTGTGGCTGCTGCTAGGGAGGGACCTTTGCACTGTGTATACACCCTCTGTAACTTCTGAATTTGAACCATACAAATGAATTATCTATTTCAATTAAAATAAATTATCTGTTATCAACGGGTCTTCGTGCCTGGACTGAATTCCTCGAGGGCAGGGACGATGCCTTGTTCATTCAGGCACTGATCTTAGCGATGGGCATGTCACAGGGATTCAATAAATATCTGCAGAATTGAACTGAACTAAGCTTTTGAAAAGAATAGTAATCCATGCTCCCGGGCCTCAATTCTATCAGAAAGCCTACATTTTAGTCCACTTGCTCTGAAACAGGCAGGCAACGAGTGACCTTTAAAACAGGGCTCCTAGACTGCTCTCTGTAAAGACTGCCCTCAGTCGGCAAAAGGGGGAAGAAGACCCTTGTAGGAGCTCCCAGAGACTGACCAGGCAGTGTGAAAGAGTGGAAAGGAACAGCGGCCCCAAACTGTCCCTTCAGGACACTCTCTCAACCCCTCCACACCTCAGATGGATCTATGAAACGAGCTCTGACTCGGCTCTAAACTGTAGTGACACTGCTGAGAAAGCAGGGCTGAGAGTACTGACAACACCTAGACCATCAGACAACCCCCACTATCCTCTGAGGACTGCACTGGCAGCTAAGGCCTTTCAAGACAACCCAGAATTCTGATTACACACAAGTACATCAACATACTAGAAAGCGAAGGAATATGGTAGTGCTATGATGTAGAATCTCGCTTCTTTCCTCTTTTTCTTTCTTCCCAATCTGGAACCAGGGGAAATACAAAGTACATAAAGGAATATTTAAGGATGAAAAGCAGGCCAATAAACAAGCAGATAAATGTTAACAACGTTATTGTTTTTTGTTCTCAGCAGTTCATATTTCAGTGTTTCAATGGGACTGAATTCATGTCTAAGGATCTCCAGGCAAGCTCATTAGAGCAGTGATTCTCAAGTCGCCTATGGGGCTTCCTACCATCGTCGCATGCACTCAGGTCCACTCCTAGGCACCGACACGACACATGAGTAAGGCACAGTCTGTATCCATAAGAAGCTTAAAATCTAACGAGAGACTTTAAAGTAAATAAACAACTCACAAAAAATGGAAAACGCAATAAAAAAAGAGGCATAACGTACATGCAAATGAAGAGAAGGAAGAAATTATTTCTGATGCAGGGTGGGGTGGAGTAGGGGAGAGGAGGAATGCGGGATGTGTCAGTGAAGGAGGTGGATCTGAAGAGAGCCTCACGGTGTGGGCAGGATTTAGCCTGAGCAGGTGGAGCGTGCAGAAGAACAGATGGGAGGGAGGGGCACACTCATCTGCACTCCAGCCACAGGTGGCACGACTTCTGACCACCTCCAACTGTCCTCTCAATAAGCTGTTCCTGGAAAAGTGCCAGACACTGCTCTATCAACTAATGGCTGAAAATGGGCAGAGCACTATGCTTTTTTGTGAAACACATTATTGCCCTAAGTGTTATTTCTTGTACAATCAATTTAACCTCAAACCACTTCTTAGGAATAGTCAAAGGGTACAATGACTCCCATTAACAAAAGTACTACGCTTCACGTCATTTGACAGACCTAACACATAATTCACATGGCTTCAGGAATATGCACTTTGTACAAAGCAAGGGACGTGTGTACAGGTTCTGTAGAAGCCATTTTGGTGTATTTAGATTATGGGTTAACTTTTACATGTACCACAATATATTTCAGAGAACTCTAGACTGATGTAATTTATTTTACAAGTAAAATGTAAGTTTTAATAAACTGATCAAAGTTTCAGAGGCAGTTAGATAAGCCTGCTACTTAAAGAAAGCCTTTGCTGCTACTTCTGAAAAGCAAAGGACCTCTCGAAGAGTAAACAGCCACTTCCTGATTCACAAGCTTTGTAAGCTGGAAAGCTTATATATTAGGTTTTGCTTTAAGCGTAGTACCTGCATATTAAGACAACACTTAAGAATCTCATATCCTATGATTTATTTAAAAATGTCTTTTCTCTGCAGAAAATGTCTAGTGTCTACTTCGAATTTATGAATATCAAATCCATTTTAAGTCCTTTTGTAAAACCATAAGAATGCCAACTTTTAAGACATTTAAGCTAATTTCCCAATAATTTAACCTTATCTTTCACTGCCTGATATGGCTGTTCTTGGATTACAGTCTGATCAAATCCTTCTACCAAATACCCACACACACAGACACATACCTCTTCCAGATGTCCCGAAGAAACTGGATTATCTTCATAAGCAGGGAACTGACAACCTGCTTTGCAACTGCAAAAATTATTAATTTCTTCCTCGCATTGTGCCATTATTTTACAGTTTGCTTCTGAGCTTTCTAAATTGATTTCCAGAGATTCATTCATGCTACATTCCAAACACTGATTCTGCTTTCCGACTGACAGAATTCCAGCTGATTCCTCCTGGGAATCCAGTGATGTCTGAGCACTCTTTTCCATCCCAGATTTTTTTAACCTGGGAAGGAATCTTCCAGACTCAAGCTCTGATTTCCCATAGTAATGGCCTTCTTTCTCTGCATCTTCTTCCAGTGGTTTGAGGTCTGCCTGTGGATCTTCAAATGCGTCAACTTGAGAAGGAATGGGAATATTTGCTTCATCTTTCTCAGATTCAAATTCCGACTCGCTCCCTCCTCCTGGTGACAGTTCAGATGCAGAAATTGGGCGAAAGTGAGTCCTAGGAGAGATCCGAATAGCCCTGTATTGTGTTCTGTCTACGCCACATATCCTGGGGTGAAAAACTTCACTGTCTGAATCAGAGCAGAGGATTGACTTCGGTTTAAAACTAGGGCTGAAAGATGCAATCCCTTCGGGTTCAAATGAACATTCTACGTGAAGAACTTGTGAAAATGGATTGCTTAAGTCAAAAGAAGAGAAGGAATATTCAAGTCCAGGATCTTCAACTTGAAAGTTACCACAAGCTCCTAGTAAGTCTTCATGGAAGATAAAAGAAAATCCCTTATTTAATCCATTTTCCCCACTCTTCGGTTGATCGTTCTGTTCAAATGACACAAAGGGTTTCCATAACTGCCTGTGACCAGGAGCAAAACTGTTTCCTGGGGTCATAAAGACATCTGTACCAGCTATCGTCACAACGTCAGAAGCCGCACACTGTAACAAGCTTCCTTTTGTGTGACTGGGGGGTACAACTGCCCACTCCCCATCGCTATTAAAGGTTTTGAGTTCTCCGTAAACCCCTCCGAGGATGAACGCATTCTCCTTGTCTTGGGCTACGTCCCAAGGTTTAGAGGGTGTAGTGTAATCACCGCCGTCCACCTTCGATAGCTCACTAGAAACAAAAGCTCTTTTCTCCATGTTCTCTTTCTGTCCCTCCCACAGATGATATTCTGATCTCTGCACAGCCTTATTAGGTTCCTGGAGGGTCTCCATTTTAGCTTCAGCATCCAAACAGCAGCAGTAGTTATTTACATCTGTTGAAAACAACTCATCATCAATTCTTTCTATTTCTACCATAGCTACAGAATTGCTATCTGCCATCTTTGTCCAAATGTCTTTAATAACCCCTGAGCTGTAGCCATCTCCATGTGGACTGCTTTCACTACATACTTGTGTAGTTTCAAATGTTTTGTTTTCTGTTTTTTGTTCTAGCTGAATACCACAGACAGATTCTAGTTTAGATTTTTTTTTGAAAACTAACGTAGGAATTTCTCCTAAAGTTCTACTGTTTTGCTGGCAAGTTTCATCTTGCAAAAAATCTAGAAGGTCTTCATCTACATAATTTGACGAGACTCTAGGAACTACATAATTAATATCTTCTGCATTAAACTGCGTTGATTCTTCAAACTGAATATTTAATGTCTCATTGTCTGAACGTGTTTCTTCTGAATGGGACCATGGACTACAAGTTCTTGTTGAAAGATTAGAACAGTGTTCATTTTCTTCAAAGGCACTATTTTTGGTCCATATTAGCAATCTAGACTGTGTTTTCCCAAGCATATTAGCACTAGAATCTGTATTTTCATTTCCCAAGTTGAGTGTTTCAAAAGAAAATGGTAAAACAGAATTACTGCATTGCACTTCAAACACTGAAAAACAAGAGTTTATACCAGATCCTTCATTAATATCTGAAAAGAGCTCTTGATTGCCAGCAAGCAAATGCGGATTGAGTGCTGTGCTGTCTAAGATTGGTGAGAGTCTAATTGGAGAATCTCCTCCAAAACTCTCTCCATCGGCATCGCCAGAGCTAGATGAACAGCACTCCCAGAACTGAGCCAGATTGCTAAGGTCTTGCAGGAATAAGCCCTCAGCACCTACAGAGCTGGTAGAATCTGTCCATATTGCACGTTCCCCTTGCAACTCCATTCCATCTAACACTATGCAACATTCTGCCTCAAAATCTGTTTTCTCTTTGCTTTTTTGTCGAATCATATTCAAAATCCGACTTTCTCCTTGCATTGTTTCTGAGGCACCAGGATCCAACATGGATTGATCAATATCCACTTCATAGAAGTGTGTTAATTCTGATAGATGAATATCATCCAAGTATTTGTTGCCCTCCGGAAGAGAACAGAATGAGGTCCCAGTGAGGTCAATATCCTCATTTATAACTGCAGGCATTTCTACAAAATGACCATCAATGAAAGTACCTGCTGCGAGGTATGTTTTATGAATATTATTGTTGCTGATACAAAGACCGTGCACTGATTCAGACAATTCTTCTACTGCCTCTGATGTCAGATCACTTGTATCTTGTCTGTTTCGGTATGTGGTCTCTAATTTACTTTTTCTGCTCAAAGGAACAAAATATTCAGCAATTGGTTCAGTATACCACAACGGTTCCTCTTTATATTCTTTGTCGTTTCTGCTCTCCATGTAGAGGTCTCTTCCTTCGGCGCTCCCGACGTCTCTTCTCCCCGCCTCCTTTGCTGGTCTTTTACCCCGTTTGCACAGCTGTCTGACAGAACCACTGCTGCTACTGCTACTGCTTCCGGCATGAAGGTTTCTTTCAGCCTTTTCGCCATGTTTCAGTGAAAGCCTGCTTTGACCATTCCGCCCCTTTTTGTTCCGAATTTCCCGTGTCTTGTGTCTTATTTTCACACACTTCATGGATGCTTTTAATTCTCCCTGATTACCACTTGAACTTGAGCCTGCTTCACTAGAGCCGGAAGACCACGAGCGAGGGCGAATCTTTCCTTCGGGTTTATGTCGGATTTGCTTTTTGTACACGGCAGGCTTTTCTTCCATTGTGCCATGACTAAATTTGTTCTCCTTCTCATTTTGACTTCTGCTCTGGGTTTTCTCGTGGGCAGTGGTGGATACGTCATTGCTCCTTTCCCTGATGACTTCCCCTTCACTGTTGCACTCCTTGGGAGAGGATGTGTCTGTGCTAGCTGGTGGGGCTGTGGATGATGAAGAAGAGCTAGAGTAAGAACAGACTTTAGACTTGTTCCATACAGTCATGATCTCTTGCAGGCAAACTGGCTTCTCAGAAAGTGGTGGAAATGCTTCATAGTACCTGAAAAAGAGAGTAGAGTCCAAAAGTGGGCATATTAGATATAATAAGACAACATTACCAACTAGAGAAAGGGGCTATTTCATTTTAACAGTCAACATTTACATCATCCAAGAATTAACAACTTTTAAATAATTAATAATATCATAAATTACGCTCTACATTTAGTCCAATGTATCAAGCACCAAGATAAGCACTATAAGAATACTAAGAAAACACAAGATGACAGTTTTTATCTTCAAAGTTTGAATTTTAATCAAGAAATGACAGGTAACAAATACAACATGGTGGAAAGAATGTACTCTTTTGATAAGCGATACCTAAATTTCATTCTCAGCTCAGTCACTTACTATGCTTGTGACTTTAAGCTAATTATTTGATGTCTTGGTCCATTATTTCCTCTACTGTAAATGGTGACAATATGACTTACCTCACGAGGCTGCTGTGAGCATTGTAAACAGATGTAGCTGAAAAGCTGGATAGCTAAGAAGTCAAGAGTATGAGCTCTGAAGCCACACTCCCTGAGTGCAAATCCTGACTCTGCCACTTATTAGCTGTGTGACCTTAGGTATGTTACTAACATCTCTGTGGCTCAGTTTCCTGACCTTCAAAATGAGGGTAATAATACAACCTCACAGAGTTGTGAAGAGTAAAGGAATGAATATGCAAAACAAGTCAGAACAGCACCTTCCTAAGTGATTACTGTCATGATTGTTATTTTTTCTCAGGAGGCTAGCGCAACGCCTGGCATTAAGCAGGCCCTCAGAAACAGGAGGGACCATGGTGTTGAACTGTTCGTAAGAGATGATGCTGGTGAGGCCTAGAACAATCAGAGAAAGGAGAGCGCAGCTGAGCCTTGAAGGTCCGGAAATGCAGCAGTTCAGGGAGTACTAACTGTGAGACACGGGAACTTGTGTGAGGACACGAAGACACACGCATGTTGTGCTTGCGGAACTGAAGCCTGATTAGACCAGCAACTACTGGAAATGCAGGGTAGGAAAAACCAGGGAGGCTGGTTTCAGAGGGCTTGAAAACTGGAGGAAGAGTTTTCAGTTTCCCAAAGAATCCAGAGTCAGGCTGGCTAGCAAGGGAACTGTTGTTTTGGGGGCAACAGTCAAGGTCACACAAGAAGTGATAAAAGGCCACGTTTTCAAAGGGCTATACTTGACTTTCCTTTCAGTCTATACCAGAGCTGTCCAATAGAAACACACTGTGAACCTCACATGTAATTTTTAATGTTCTAAGAGTCACATTAAAAGTGTAAAAATAAACAGGTAAAATTAATTTCAATAATATAGTTTTACTTAACTAAATATATCTACAATAATATTTCATGTAATCAATATTAAAAAATACTAATGCAATATTTTACATTCTCTTTTATACTGAGTCTTTGAAACCTGGTGAGAATGGCACACGTGCAGCACACCTCACTTCGCAGCAGCAGGATTTCAAGCGCTCAACAGCCACAGACGGCTATGGCCACTCCACTGGACAGTGAAGGCCTACACAAACCAATTAAATTCTTTTCCTTAAGTTTTAGAAGTTCAGAAGATTCAAATAAAATGTATAATAAGGAAGTCTGCTTATAATGCAGCTGATTTTAACACTAACCATTTACAAAGAAAGAACTTAAAGCATGTTTAGGAAGCAAGTTTGACAAGGTCAACGACTTCCCCACATTCCCTTTGGAATCAGCAGGGGGAACCTTGTGTGTAAAACAAGGATAAGCATAATTTCCTACAACTGTCTCAAAGGACTAGTGTAAATTTCAAGGTGACAGTACATGAATGGACGGTAAATAACCTCATTCATTCATTTCACAAATATTGAGTCAATATACGTAATAAGGATAGAACCATCTTATTCACCCTCGAATTCTCAGTGTCAAGCACACAATAAATGCTCAATAAATGTTTCCTGGATTATAAAATATGAAACCAAATAGATGATGAACAAACACCTGTAAACCCTGCAGCGGTTAGCAGCCTGAGTCTCACAAATGCACACGTCATCACTGAAGACAATCTTACGTACATTTCCACTTGATCCTTTGCTGTGGGGGATAGTTCTGCCTCTGGAGAGGGAGACCCTTCTAACTTTTTGTGAATCTTCTCTTCTGTTAGGAAACAAAAATTCAGAAAGATTTGTCTTATACCTAGCTAATAAATATTCCTGTTTTTTAAAGTTTCACAAGTAACTTTAACAGCAATTATATAGGCTTTTGTGGCTTAAAAAGAACTCTATACCAGTTTGTCTTTTTAACAAAAATTTATTTCTTCAGTGTGCCGCAGGGAATTCTCTGGCTAAACCACATTAACATTGGGCTGAGAAATGAGAGTTGTTAACCTCATCACTGATACAGTGCTCCGGAGGCACTTAATTAAGAGACTGAAATCCCCTGTGTACTTATTAATTACACCAGAAGGAGAGAACATCTGTTTAAGATTCCAAAAATATTTTCTCACAAAATTCTGCACTCATGAACTTTATATTGACTCATCTTGACTAATACTAATCAGCAAAGAAAATTCTTCATTACAATTAGCTCTGTTACTTAACATCTAGGTGAGCAAGGGCTGTGTTTCAACTAAAATAGAAGCAAAGGGCTAAATTCTTAGCTCAGCTCATGATACCGCCTTAGATTAAAAACAAATACGGCCTGCCCCGGGGCCGAGTGGTTAAGTACTCGTGCTTCGCTTCGGTGGCCCAGGGTTTCGCTGGTTCGAATCCTGGGCGCGGACATGGCACCGCTCATCAGGCCATGGTGAGGCGGCATCCCACATGCCACAACTAGAAGGACCCACAACTAAAAATATACAACTATGCACCAGGGGGCTTTGGGGAGAAAAAGTAAAAAATAAAATCTTTAAAAAATAAAAAAAACCCAAAACGAAACAAATAAACTCTGCCCTTATAGGAAGGCTAAAGACTTGGAGGGCAGCAAAATGACCAAGAAGAGGACAAGGAAAACAAAGATCTTTAACCTTAACATGTAGCTCTCATTCTAAGGGCTTGCAAAAAAAAGTTGGGAAAAGAAGTTATGAGGGTTCACGAATCAAAATGACTTAATGAGCTTGTCAAGTCTGCCTTTCCAAAGAATTCCAGAGTCAAGGCAGAAGTTCCTTCCAACCTTTATCAACATCTTGCAAGGCCTTGACGTCAACAGGCAGATATTAACAGGGGGGCAAGGATGGGAAAGAAGACAAAATATTGCTCTCGATCTCTGAGCTTCAAACAAAATGACATGTCTCCTCTCCCTGAGGGCACCTGTGGATTAGGTGACTCCTCTGAGAAGAGAGACCTGACCAAAGTGACTGCCGAGGGCTGACCCAGAAGTCACAAACAGCTGAAGACGTTGCATGATGCTGGCCTGGCGACACACACCGAACACAAAGACTGTATTCTCATAGTTTCTTTTTTTGATCAACTCTAAGATTTCTCTCCATCAGATTCCTCAGTGACTCTCCCCTACTGTGCGCAAACACAGGCCCTGGCGCAGGGCTCTTACCTTGCTTGTTCTGAAGGTCTTTCAGTCTGGAGCAGAGCTCCTCCACTAACGTCTCGATGCCAGAGCTCTGCATGAGGACATAAATACATATTAGTTTACCACCAGGTATGTAAAAATCAGGTATTTGTATACTTTTGTTTTAATATAAAGGTTTTCTAAATCTTTCACATTCCAAAGAAATACATGATCAATACTTAAATGAACACAAGAATTAAAATGTTACAGGTCTGTAGATCCTATTTAGCATACATATTTTACTAATAACGAATAGTCAATGGTATTTACTGATAAAATATGAATGTATTTCCTAGAACGGCTTCTGTCTTCCCAGGGGTATAGCATCTTCTTCACGGGGCAGACTAAGCACCTAAATGCCCATCATATGGCTAAATGTCAGTCACCATCAAAAACATTATTCAATGTGAGCACGGTCTTGTACCAGACTCGATATAAAGAAAAATCACAAAAATCTCATCTTGGTCCTCTAGGAGCTCACAGACTAAAGAAAACAAGGTGATTTTTTTCTTTTTTAAAGTGAATACTCACGACTGCAACAAAAAGAGCAATATAGAAAACACATGCCAATACTGTGACATATGCTGAATGTGAAAGCTGTGTTAGCCTCTATATAGAACTGGGATAAAATTTAAGGAGAGTACATGGAAGAGTCTGAAATTTGGAGGATAAGAGTCAATCTTTAAAGAAAAATGAATGTCGGAAACATGCACTGCAAAATAATCTTTCACTCTGTTGACTTTCAAACTTTTAAAATTCTCACAAGAAGAAACAAAACTATTTCACAATGTACAAAAAAAGGTGAATGTATTTCCTAGGAACCTTATATTTATTCAGTGGCCAAAAGTCCTATTTAAACTGGAACTGAGTCTCTCTAGGTGGACACCACTCGAACACATGCACATGACTGCTCACCCTTCGCCCTCATGGGGCCTTGAGGGGCTAAAAATAGAAATTCACCCCATTCACCTAACTCAGAATGACTCAGCACAAGTATTACAGACAGCCTAAACAAGAACCCACAGCTCCACAGTCTGAGCAGCAACAAACACATTACAATGAAAATGTTAACTGCAAATATTGATAATTATATTCTATCCGCATCATATCACAGCTTTTAACAGGGAGACGGGACAGAGGGAGACAGGGAAATGGGCCAGGAGAGAGCTGTCCTTTCCTTAAAACACTCTTAAAAACCATGGCAGATATTAGTGATAAACACTGCTCTGACTACACAATTCCATCAGAAAGACTCTGCTTACCATAATGTTCAAGGTGTGATGAGTATGGCCGTTTTATTCAATTTTCTCCAGATCGTGAACCTAACACCCGTGTCAGCTGACACCCTGCTGCACGCTGTTCTGTACAGCAAGCCTATGTCACTGGGTTTCTAAACCCAGTACCAGTCTCCAGCGCAGAGCACCGAGCCTCTGGGGATTGCTCATTCAACCTCCTTCAGAACTCAAAACGGCCGGCCGTTTAATACGCCACAGAGAATGAGCATTACCACCTAGTGACTACATACTATTTTTTATGCTTTCTCTTGGAAATTACTTCCACACAAGTGTAACTTTTAGTTGTTCTGGATAGCAATGCAGCTTAGAAGTATATACATTTGCTCTCAAACATAAATGGCATAGAAATGAGGAGCTTACTCCTTAACTCTGTGCATAAAAGCAAGCTCTACCCATCAGGCTTCTGTCTTATTGCCTTGACTACTGCAACAGCCTACATACATAGACATATATATATATATGTATATATATGTGTATATATATATATATATATATATATTTTAATCATTAGACCACTGGCTTATCATAATAGTAAACTGAGAAGCAAAAGTGGGTATCAGAAGCAGCCATTGTCATCTCCTGGCAGGTATTCCAAAGTGTGAATTTGGAGCTGTTAATGAGCTTTCCCAATCACAAGGTAAATTATCAGATAATTTTAATAACCATATTTTAATAGTATACCATATCCAGAAGGGCACTTAAGAATACTGAAAGCCTACAGTATCTTGAGAAATAAGGGAAGTAAATTATACTTATATTTTAGTGACAACTCTAAGGGAGAATATGCTGTATGTGAAAAAAAATGGTAACATTCAACCACTCAACTTGTGAATTGCTGTTCCTGACTATAAAATGGATAATATCCAGTCAGCTCCCAGTATTGATAGAACACGTTAAAATTCTCTGCAAACCGTAAGAACACTCTAAAGTTCAAGTCACAGTACTCCAGCTCTGAAAGCCCTGAACCAGTGACTGGCAAGTTTCAGGAGATGTTCAGGAAGCAGTCTTCTGAATGCACGACCATTCACTGGTTTATCAATTACTCACACATGCATTCACTCAGTCAGTCAACAATCGGTCAGGAAGAGCACCCCAACATGTCAGGCTGCACACCCAGAGAGACAAGGTCCCTGCCCAAACAGCACTTACATTCTAAGAACTCTTAACTTCTCAGAAGACATGGCGAAGTGGAATGTATTTGGCCACATACTTACTGGACAGCAGGGTTTATGTGTTGCTCGTAGTCTCTGAACCCAAGACCACTACACTTTCCTCTCAAGATCTGTGAGGGTAAACTAAGATGACGGACATGTGAGGCATCCATCAGAGTACCTGCCACAGCAGTCACTTAAATGTTGGTGTCATTTCTAGATTTTGTATATGTTTTCCATTTTCCAGAATCTCATTTTTGGATTCCTCTCTTCTAAAATGCCTTTAATTTTTGCTATGATTTGAGTTTGAGATTGGAGTAAGAAAGATAACTAACCCGATCCAGATAACCCAAAGCCCTCTGGATTCTGCCTGGATTCCCTGGTCCATGCACTGATACACTCCCTCTCCCAGGCTGCAGGGTGGAGGTAAAGACCCTTATGTGATGCTGAGCCAAAGGCAAACACTGCAGCTACTGTCCCACCACTTCTGGGGAATTCTTTTTATTTGTTCCCTGACAAATTTCCATCATTTCCCATCCCACAACATTTTCAGTGTTTCTCCATCCTCTCCATGCTTTCCATTCTTCTCAACTAATGACCTTAATAATCATTAGCATAAAGAAAAGAAAACAATCTGACTTACTCTGCCTCATTATCTCTTCTCTCCATATTCTAAGGTGTCTGTAGCTACATTAATCATCTCAAAGGTTAATCTTTTATGGAGAACTCATTTGGACTGGATATTCCCTAACTGTTGTACAAGAACGCCCACTCCAACCCTGTGATCATTAACCAATATGATACTCAGGGGTACTTAATGCCTGTTCCATTCATGGGTGGCAAAGTGGGAGTCAAAAAAGATCTGGGATTGAATTTCACCCCAAAGTTAGCCAGATGACCCCACACAAGTCATTCACTTATCAAAGCTGCAGTTTCCACATCTGAAAAATGGTGAGAATACCAGCAGCGCATTTCCTAATAGCTGGTTATTAGACTTCTTGCATTGTTCCCCTAATTTCTTTTCTCTCCTATTACCATTTCTTCATTTTTTGGTCCTGCTTTCTAGATTTTCTCAGCTATACTTTCCAACTCTTCAACTGAGTTTTTTCATTCTATTATCATGTTTAGAATTTTCAAGAGGTCATCCTGTCCCTTGAATGTTTCTTCTTTATAGCAACCCTCTCCTCAGAGAAATGCCCTGACCTTCAGTGTTGTGGTAGCCAGGCAGAAGACAGGGGAATGCTGGGGCATGTGGCTAGGTGGAATAAACATCCCTGGCCCACAGCCATTCAAAGATTAAAAAAATTTCTAAAACCCAAACAAACAAAAAGCTGTTTCTGTCAAGGTAGCCACAAGAAGATTGTGATTCCCCTCCTGAACCACAGGAGGATCTAGAAAAATCTACCCACTGGCCTGCCTCCAGCTCTTATTTACATTTGATCTCTAGAATACGATATAGAGGAGGAGAGAAGTATCCAGTGGATAAATATTATCAAATACTTATTATGTGCCAGGGAAGTAGAGATGTACGTCCTCTTGGAGTGATGGACAAAAGACGGTTAAAATTTGTCACAGGAAGTAGAGAATGTCAACCTCTGTTTTAAGTAATGATCAATAACTTGACTAACCAAGGCTTAATTAAATAAAGGCCTAAAGACAAAGGTAGCCCTGCTTGGCATCATTCTTTCGCAGGGAGAGCAGCATCCGGATGCGTCAGACACGGTGCTGTGTAAAAGCTGGAAAAGTTATTTGGTTTCTCTGAGCCTCCATTTCATTGTCTCAAAAAGAGGAAAATACTTCAACTTGAATTAAATTCTTCAGCTTTCCTAGTTCACCGCAGCATCCTGTTGATCTAGACAGACCATATTTTTCAATATATAGAGAAAAATGTCCTGGGGCCAGCCCAGCGGTGCAGCAGTTAAGTGCGCTTCGGTGGCCCAGGGTTCGCCAGTTTGGATCCCAGGTGCAGACATGGCACTGCTTGGCAAGCCATGCTGTGGTGGGCATCCTACATATAAAGCAGAGGAACATGGGCATGGATGTTAGCTCAGGGCCAGTCTTCCTCAGCAAAAAGAGGAGGATTGGCAGCAGTTAGCTCAGAGCTAATCTTCCTCAAAAAAAATTAAAAAGTCCTGTTTCCTACTTTAATTTGGAGATGGCAGTGTCTTTTCCCTTCAGATATCCATGTTCCTCCTGTAACAACTAAACTCCTGAAGGAGATTCAGGCACAGAAGCTTGGAAGGCTCTGGGTTGAATGTCTGACATACTATTTGTCACACTTCACTATTCAATTAACAAGAATAGTCAAGTTCCCCAAAGTAGAACTTTGAACAGTTCTCTCTAATCTAGGGTGCATCAACTCTAGAGGAACCCACCAATGGGTATACAATAAAAGCTTACATATATCTTTCCGGTTAGGGCCATAGCCTTCATCAAACACTGAAGCCTGTCATGCTAAAAGGGTTAAAAAAAGAAACACCGACATTCATCTACCAACCTGATGCCTAAGTATATACTCTAGAAAAAGCACTGTATATATGCACAAGGATAGGCATACAAGAACATTCCTTGCTGCACTCTTTGTAACAGCCCCAAATGGGAAACAA